TACTTCTTGGCTATTAAGAATGATGTTGCTATGGACATTTGCATATGTCTTTACATAGACATTTCATTCCTCTTGTATAGATATCTAAGAGTGGAATTGTTAGGTCATACAGAAAACTTAAATTTAACTTTTTGAAAAACCGTGAAGCCTCTTCCAAAGTGACCATTTTATATTCTACCATCAATGTATGAGTGTTCTGTTTCTCCATACGGTCACCAACACTTACAAGAGCTCAAGCTCTTTGCTGCTGTCACTACTGTTTTTCAATAACTATGTGCATTTGTCACTGTATGTTGAAATAAGAGGAAGAGAGGAAAAAGAGGAGAAAAAATAGAAAAGAACCAAGACTCAGTTATAACAAAGTAAACAACTCAATTTAAAAAGTGGGCAAATGATTTGAACAGACAATTGACCAAAGAAGATATGCAAATGTCAAAAAAAAAAAAAAAAAACACACATGCAAAGATGCTCAACATCATTAGTGCAGAAAGGCAAATTAAAATCACAGTGAGGTAGAGAAGTATTATAAAGGCTAAAGACTGAGCAGATCAAGTGCTGAAAGAGGATGTGGAGGAGCTGAAGTATCATAGACTGCTGTTGGGAATGTAAACAAAGAACAGCCACTTTAAAAAGCAATTTGGTAGTTTCTTAAAAACTTAATAAATACCATATGCTCTACTCATTCTACTACTAGTCAGCTTCCCATGAGAAATGAAAGTACACATCCTCATAAAGACCTGTACGTGAATGATCACAGCAACTTTATTTGTAATATTCCCAAACTGGACACAATCCAAAATGGCTGAATGAGTGAACTGTAACATATTCATAAAATGGAATTCTATTCGGTAATAAAACGAAATGAACTATGAAAACACATTACAACATGGATTAATATCAAAACAATTAGACTAAATGAAAAAAATCCAGACAAAAAAATATTTACTATGTGATTCCATTTATATAGAGTTCTAAGAAATGCTAACTATTACATAGAGACAGAAAGCAGATCAGTGGTTAACTAGGGCAGAGGATAGAAAAAAATAGAAGAAAAGGGTCACAAGGAGGCATGAAAATTTGGAGGCTATAGATATGTATAGACTGCCACCATAGCCTGACAGTCTCCTACCTACTATTTTTCTGATGAGACTGGTTGGGAAATTAATGAATATAATTTTGACATGGTATATTAAATTGTGCAATTATTTGAAATAGCTACATAACTTGGGGATCTGATATTTTCCAAATGACTAAAGCATAAAGCTATAAAATCATGAATGGATAAAAGATGCATTCAAATCACAAGCTCAATCAATAGACTAAGGTAACTGAGTATGAAAAGTTCACTGATAATGTTTCAGATTCCACATTGCAACTAGCCTTTAAGAAAATTTAGCGAAATCTACTGTGATAGGTAGAATTTGAAGATGGCCTTTCAAAGATGTCCTACTATAAAAACCCTGGACCCTAAGAGTGTGAGTAGAGTTCTATCATACAGCACAGTTGACTTTAAAATGAGATTATCCAGGTAGGACTGATCTAATCATATAAGCCCTTTTAAAAGCAGAGAGTAGTTTCTAGAAAACGTAGAAAATACTCTTATGCACATTGTAGCAGGCAACTAATTCTTGATCAAATTCCCAAAAGCAAACGCCATAAAAGATAACATAGACGAGTGGGACCTCATCAAACCAAAAAGCTTTTGCACAGCAAAAGAAACCATCAAGAGAGTGAAGAGATAACCTACATAATGGGAAAAAATATTTGCTAATTATGTATCTGACAAAATCTTAACATCCAGGATTTATAAGGAACTCAAATGTGCTGAAAGGAAAAAAATACACAATCCTTTCAAAAAGTGGGCAAAGGACATGAATAGATACTTCTCAAAAGAAGATATATAAGTAGGCAACAGATGAAAAAATGCTCATCAGAGAAATGCAAATCAAAACTGCAATGAGAAACCACCTAACTCCAGTAAGAATGGTCCTCAACAACAAATGGAAATACAATAGATGCAGGCGAGGGTATGGAGAAAAGGGAATGATTCTACACGGTTAGTGAGAGTAAAGGCTAGTTCAACCTCTATGGAAAGCAGTGCAGCAATTCCTAAAAGAACTGAAAATTGACCTTCCATATTCCTCTTCTGGGAATATACCCAGACGAACATAAATTGTTCTACAAAAAAGACACCAGCACATGCATGCTTATAGCTGTACTATTCACAATAGTAAAAACATGGAACCAATCCCACTGCCCATCAAAAGTGGACTGGATAAAGAAAATGTGGTACATATACACAATGGTGTATTATACAGCCATAAAGAAAAACAAAATCATGGAATATGCTGCAAATTGGAAGAGATGGAGACCATCATATTTAGTGATCTTTCACAGATACAAAGAACTAAATATCAAAAATGTTCTCACTCATAGGTAGGGCCTGAACATTAATCACAATAGCACAAGGGAAGGATCAGCAACCAATGCACCAGGGCAGGGAGGGAGGGAAGAGGCTCACAGCATCACAAAAGGTACCTGGTCTAAACCAGGGGAAGTGAAGGCCAGTTGGAGGTCTAAACTTCACCTGTATGAAGCCTGCTTGGGGAACTAAACCTAACTTTTACCCCACATTATCTATAATAATGATAATAACAACAACAATAATAATATAATAAAAGCAGACTGTATTTTCCGCCTGGTAACAGAATAATAACTCAGAGAAATTCAAAACACTTAAATGATTTGACATGTCTGTGCTGGCTTTGAAGATGGAGAGACGATGAGAAAAGGAGTGTAGGCAATCTTAAGAAGCTAAGAGATGCCCTCAGCAGAGAGCAGGCAAAGAAATGTAAACCTCAGACACGGCTGCAAGGAACCGGATTCTGCCAACAATGAAATGAACATGGTAGCGGATTCTTTCCGAGAGTCTCCAGATAAGAGCTCAGCCTGACATCTTGATTCTGTCTGTGAGAACCTGTGCAGACAATTCAATGAAGCTTGTCATGACTTCTACCTACATAACTGAGAGGTAATAAATGGGTGCTGCTTTAAGCCCTCAGTTTGTGATGATTAGTTATGGAGCAATAGAAAGTGAATACATTTACCACAAATCAAAATATACATAAACTTGAATACAACAATCTCATTGATGAATTTTTACCCTACAGATATACTTCCAAATGATTTTTTACCATGAGTCCAGGGATATCCATTGAGCAGTGTTTATAAAAACAAATAATAAAAATGGAAATGACAAAAGGAGCCACAAATACAGAACTGGTTGAATAAATTATGTAAATCCACAAAATGGAATACTTTGTAACCATTGTCAAAAAAAGGTAGAACTATATGAATTATTATAAAACAATGAGACCAACACACATCTTAATAAGAGAAAAAAGCAAGATGTGAAACAGTGTTATAGTATGACTTGTCTCATAATTAAATTTAAAGTCTGAATAAAACCAAGGCATCTGCATTAAACATCTTTTGAGGGGGAAAAAGAGATTATAAATAGTAATTAGCTTTGGGATATAATTGTATTGTTGAGTGGAAGGTTTTCATTTTTAATTTTCTACTTATTGTTACATTTTTAATTTTCTGATAAAGTTTATTATTTTTATTCATTTAAAAAATATAAACAGAGATTACAGCCAGAGTCTAGATAAACACTGCTTGGTTATCTTCTTTTGTTTTATTCAACTTGGACTTGTCATCTGGAATTTGTATCATGCTCCTTTAACCATCATGGTAAGACCAAAATCACCTTTCCTCAACAAGTCTGCCACACTTCCCAAATCTAAGTTTTTCAGTAGCATTCCTTATCCAGGGCTTCATTTGTACCCATGTAAATGTTAATATGTATTTATAATATTCTCACATTTTAATGTGTGAATATTTTAAATATCTTATTTTAATTAAATTTCAATTACAGTTATAGGTTACTCATTTGTGTTTAAAATTTTTTACTATACTCCTTTATTTTTTTCATAACTATATTGAAAGCTACTTTAAGATATAGATCATAATAGTCAAACAAATCAAACATGCAATGTACCTAACACAGATGAGAATAAAGATGGCAGTGATCTAGGTATTCTGCAGTTTTATGATAATATCAATAAATATCTAAACAGCGAGAGAGCAGTAAAATAAAACAGGACCAATAATCCTTAACAGTGAAATAATTATGTCGAGAGAAATTAATGAGCAATCTACAATATTAGATTTACTTAACGCATTTTAACTAAAATTAGAAACATTTTTAACATTCCTTCAAATTTCTTTTTAAATGAGCAAATAATTGTTAAAGGTAAAGCACATTCCTCAGTTATTAAATATTCTGTTTGTAAACCTTATAAGATCAAATTTTACCTGACTGTATTTTCTATAACAGGAAGACGGACAATGAAAAAAACAGAAAGCATACTATATCACTTCAGAGCTGTTCTTGTTTATTGATAACAGAAAGCTATTGAAAGTCACCATAAAGAAATACCAAGATATATTTCTAAACAGATCACCTTTTGTTTGTCCACATATGAAAGAAGTTCGTGACTAATGAGTAACTCAAAGCACCATGAGATTATTATACACAACCATAAAAAAAGAGGGTATGTGGAGATATACTAAAAAAAGATACACAATGAACTAAATATAAGATAGTACTATCATTATTAAAGAGTCAAACTAAGTACAATGACTTTCTTAATAACCTTTTGCACATAAACAATATATATGCGTAGGACTAAATTCCATGTGTAACTATACTCTAATAAATCTATCTCTTAAAAAAATATTGGCTGACGTTTTCTAGAAAACAGCAAAGTGCTATAGCCTGTAAAAATATTAATCATATGTACAAGCTCATTGTTACATAGAAATGTTAAATAAAATCTTTGGAAACTTTACAAGGAAAAATCAAAGAGACTGAATATATAAAAGTAATAAAACAAAGCATTAAAATGTCATCAAGCAAACCTTTAGAATCATATTACCTGAAACCAGTTCCATAATGATGTAGACAGGCTGTCTTTGTGTGCAAACTCCTATAAGTTTGACAATATTGGGATGATCATATTGCTTGAGAATTCTAAGATAAAAGTATAAGAATAATTATCATTTGAACAACAAAGCATTAATTTATTATCATAAATAGTGTTTAAAGCCATAAAACACTTTAATCATAATTCAATTTTTAAAACGTCTAGAACCTCAAATTATGATAAATAGGATGCACACATACAAGTATAATTGTCCCTCAGTATCCATGGGGGATTGGTTTCAGGACCCCTGTGGATACTCATATCTACATGTGCTCAGTCTCATTTACAAAATGGTATAGTATTTGCATATAACCTACACATTTTCTCCTTTAAACTTTAAAATATCTCTAGATTACTTAGAAAAACTAATACAATGTAAATGTTATGTAAATAATTGTTATAATGCATTGCTTCATGTATAATGACAAGGAAAAAAGTCTGTACATGTTTCCTACAGATGCAACCTCCATTTTTTTTTCCTCCCTAAATATTTCAATGCGTAGTTGGATGAGTCCATGGATCTGGAGGCCCAACTATCCTGATGAATATTGGCAACATAACATAGGTACAAATGAGTCAATTCTCATTAATTCAATTCAAGATTAATTTAAAAAATTATTATCGATCCTGAATGATTAACAACCATGTTAAACAGGAATAACCTAGTTAACCCCAAACATACTTCAAAGTATTGTGTCTGGTTTTAGCCACCACCACAAAAGTACAGCTGAAAAGTATTCGTGGATCAAAAACGATGAGCTGCTTTGTAGTGTCTTTTTTTTTTTTTTTATGCCACACAGTTTTAAAACACATAAAAATGAGCAGTCATCTCATACTGGTAAATGCTACAGGATAATCATTTCATTGGATTTCCTAGTAGTTAAATACTTTCTTGATGATCATGATCAATTTCAAAATGGTAAGAACATACAGGTTTTAAGAAAATTGGCAAAAGGTTAAAAAATAATTGAGTACTACGGCTTCAACATAGACTTAAGCTGAAGCAGGGTAGACTTAAGTTTGTATAAGGGCAATACTTCATCAGAAGGCCAAAAAAAGAGATACATAGATAATAGGACTCCAAGCATAAGCTAAAAATAGATTAGATTCCCTCAGATGTCCATCTGCCCTGATGACTTCTATTAGCAAATTTTATTCCTTATGGTCTTATTGACATAGCTATAAATTCACTCATATTTTAAAATTGCTGTAATCTTTCTTAAGAGAATGAAAAAATAACTTTGTTTAGAGAAAGACAAAATTATATATGCTTTGTGCATGTACAATAAAGCAAGGATAGTTGTAAGAAAAATGTTTTAGATAGAAAATTGATAATGATTTATACATGAAAAGACAAAATGAGAAGAATTCTAAAGATAAAGAAAATATTTGGCTAATAACTTTGAGCTTCCTACTTCTACTAGAAATTAAAGAGAAAGATTTAAGAATGTTAACTTTAACCTAAAATATTTCTTAGATTGTAAACAGTTTAGTAAAGAAATATACACAAAACAGCCAGCATGACCTCATTAACACTAACATTAAATATCTAACTGTACATTTCTAGCATCTACTAAAGGACACTCAAAAGCTTGCATTGATATAATTTTCATTTTTAACATAAAATGTCACAATTTCACTTTAAAAGAATAAATTAATGGGGGGGAGGGGAAGGGCGATGGAACTAATGGTAGTAAACATCTGTCTGTGGATGGGGATATACCTCTTATCAACAAGGGGGCCTGAACGAAGCATATTTGTATACCTAACCCTTAACTGTACCCCATAATATAATAATAAAAAATATTGATTTTAAAAAAATAAATAAAAATAAAAGAATAAATTAAACTCTTTGCTTTGTGATAAAATAATCAAAAGTTAAAGCAAGAAAGTTAAGTATTTTTGAAATTATATGAGGTCTTGACTCTTAAATTAAGAATACCTATGAATAACTGTAAAATAATGAGGCTATGAATTTCAATTGTGATAGCAAGTCTTTTATCATCAGAATTTTTTTCTGAATTGCCAATAACAGACATAAAGATTTAAACTTTATTCTACAGATAATATTTAAGAAATGTATCCAACTAGTTTAACCCACTACATCAATATTCATTTTTAGATGATGCATAGAGACATGTTCATCAAGATGCTCTGTATCATGTGACTTGATAGTGCTTTTGTTGCCATGGCACTATTCCCCCACAGCACCTTCCCTTTACACCACAAAAATCTACAGATCCACATATCCTCTTCTTTTTTCATCCAACCATCAATTCATCCAACCCTCCACCAATATGTACCTCCAGCTTACTCTGTCCAAAGTACTTTTCCATTTCTTTTGTGTTTTGTTTTGTATACTCAACTATACCACAGACAACATAGTTTTAACTACCTGCAATATAGGAGTAGCATAATGAAACATTAAATTTTAGCTAATAACAGAAAAAAAGAGAAGACAACCACCTTAGAAGATCAATTCTAAATGAAAGACTGTGCAAATTTTAGAACAAATGCCAGACTCTAAGTTGAATTAAAAATCTGAGGTTCTCAGAAAATAAAATTAACAGCTAGGAAAACAGATATTGTCTAAGGAGGGTAGGATAAGTATTATAATATATCTAGATATATGTAATATATTTTATGTACAAAATATAGTAACATTTTTATCATAAAGACAACCACATACTATATATATGCATATATGTCTATGTATGTGTTATAAAATCAAAATATTGCAAAATTTTTTAAGGTTTTGAAGAATATTTACTTGCTTTTGAACACCTGGTTCTTTGATTGTGATTTCTGAATCAATTTACATTTGACCTCAAAACCAGAAACTGTCTCCACATTTTTAAAGTGTTCACTTTTACTTAAACAAATCACAACTTAAGTTGTCTTTGAATTTACATTTTAATGAATTATTTATATTATAAATGCATATATTGTATTACTTTAGAGAACTCACTTGGCTTCTTGTAAAAATTTTATTTTCAATTCCTGAGGAAGATCTTCTTTACAAGTTTTAACAGCAACAGAAGTTTTATCCTTTAATGTGCCCTTATATACTTCACCAAAATTTCCCTGAAAATACAAATACATTCATTGTTTGGGGTATGTGACAGTACGTAAATTTTTGCCAAATACAAGGAAAGCACATAATGAAGGATTTTGAATTAATCAAAGTATTCCATTAGTTTTATTCAGAATTTTGAGCGGAAATAAAGATTGGTACTGTTGCTTTTACCAGTCCTCCAAAATCTTAACTATATCACCCAACACATAAACCATGCGGAAGCTTGAGACTAAAGGAAAATTGAAAAGGAAATAAAAATGATGACAAAATGGAAAGATAATATGATAAAAGGAGAAACCCAAATTGAAGCTGTGAGAAGTATATAACTTTTATTGCACTTAGTTCCCTTTACTTCCTAAACTCTACATTTCATTAGATTAAAAAAGTATCCACGGATGTAAAATAATAAAGCAAAGGTTCTGAGGGGTAACAGCTGGTACTTACTGGCCCACATAGCCATGTGTCCGTTGGAAAAGAGTGTGAAAACAAATCGGAATAGGAGAGCGGCCACAGACCCAAGGCAGATAAGGGGCTGTCAAAAGCCAAAGTTGTAGGTTGTCAGCCTCTATTTGCCAACTGTATGTCTGACAGAGGCCTAACATCTAGGATTTACAAGGAACTCAAACATGCCGAAAAGAAAAAAACAAACAGCCCCATTACAAAGTGGGTAAAAGATATGAATAGACACTTCTCAAGAGAAGACATACGAGCAGCCAACAGATACATGAAAAAATGCTCAACTTCACTAGTCATCAAAGAAACGTAAATTAAAACTATACTGAGATACCACCTAACTCCAGTCAGGATGGCCACCATCAATAACTCAAAAAACTACAGATGCTGAAAGGATGTATTGAAAAGGGATCATGCAATACTGTTGGTGGGAGTGTAAACTAGTACAGCCTCTGTGGAAAACTGTGTGTTGAAGATCTAAAAATCGACCTTCTATACGACCCCACAATCCTCCTACTAGGAATATATTTGGAAGAACTCAAATTACTCTATGAAAAAGAAACCTGCACCCGTATGTTTATTGCAGCATTGTTCACGGTAGCAAGAACATGGAACCAACCATGCTGCCCATCAAAAGATGACTGAATTTAAAAAATGTGGTACATATACACGATGGAATATCACTCAGACATAAAGAAGGACAAAATCATGAACTTCACAGCAACCTGGATGGACTCAGAGCCTATAACACTGTGTGATCTATCACAGAAACAAAGAACTGAGTATCATGTGTTCTCACTCATAAGCAGACCTTAAACAATTATTGTAATACTATAAGAAAAGGATTGGCAGTAGCGGGAAACTGCTGGGGGCGGGGGGGCAGGAGGCAGCAGGATTAGCAGTAGTGGGAATCTGCTAGGAGAAGGGGACACACCTCATCAACAAGGGTATACCTGCATAATGAACATTTGTTTACCTAACCCTGACCCCACACCTAACTGCATACCTAACCCCACACCTTTAAAATAAAAAAATTAAAAGAGAAAAAAATAAAGATACTGAGGAGGTGTTTTCCCAAATGTCAATGTAACTTGTGATTTACTAATTTCTATCAAACATATGAACTCCTAACCTTACCTGATGGCTAGAATTTGATATAAAATGCCATATTTACAATGTATTTGAGAAGAAACTTTGGAGTCAATTCATTGCTCTTTATTATAAATACTAAACAAAATATTACAGAGTAGATCAATAAAGCTAATGCGCTAGCACAGAAGCAATTTTTAAGTATTCCTTTAGATCTTTCTACCTACATAGATGCATTTTTTACAAAGCTATACTCACAATATGCAAACATTACATTATAATGAACTTCAATGCCATTATTGAGCAAGAAGTAACTGAACTAGGAGTCTGCTAGTTACTGAGTTTTAATGTTCTAAGATGAATTGATTCTCAACTTGTAAAATTTACAAGTTAAAATGTATACTATTGACTATTAATAATTTCTTAATAACAGGAGACTTGTATTTAATTTGTACTATTTAATATTCAACTCTTAGCTATTTATGACAGCAATGACCAGTCATCTTTTCATGAAACATAAACACATTTTGGGGTCTCAATGTCGTAAAATTTCATCATAAATTTTAAAAAGGAAAATTTGAGCTTATTCTCAAGGGGTTTTCCCTCACAACTGTCAGAAATAGAAGTGAAAGAAGATATTAATGTGAATGATTACTGCTGGACCCCTATTCATCTGAGTAATTCTAAAGTATTTACAATTTAGCTTCCTTAGAGTTCATCATTATACTCATCAAAAGATTCTTCCTGGCTAAATTACTTTTTTCGGTTACTAGGACAATCATTCTCTTTGCAAGCATTCAGATCCCACCTCCACAATACTTTTTGTCTTCCTCTTGCATCTCAGAAAGTCTACCTTGATTCAAGATCTACATTTTCTCACCTAGGCTAATCTCATCTTCAGTCCCTCAACCCTCCAATTCATCTATTATAGTACTGCTAGAGTCATTGTTCCTAGAGAAAACTTTGATTATATAGCTGTCTTGCTCAATATCCATTCTTCAATTACTACTACTTCCTTAGCCTCTATATAGTTCCACATCATAAACCCCAAAAGTTACATGCATTCTAAACTCAAATACTTAGGGATCCCAAAATACATGCCATACTTTTTTCCCCCCCTCTGTTGAAAACCTCCACTTCATCTTTCACTTTCTTTCTTATGTCTTCTCCTTGATCTGCCCCCAAATTTGTCTCCTGTTCCTAAAAAGTAATCATCCCGTTGCTTCTTTGTGTCTTTCTAATGGTTTCTGCCTTTTATAACAGGTCTTGGCATATTGTAGGCATCTGAAAATTTTAAACATTAATTCAACAACCATTACACACAGAGAACTTCAATTCTATCAATGGTGGTCAAAGAGAGACTCTTCAAACACCGAGAAAATAGATTATGCTTCCAAGACCATTTCTTCTCCATCCAAAGAAGTTAGGAGGAAACTTAAGACACTAATCACTCCCTATCACTTAACAGGCATGACTTCATCTCTGCTATTGCCTATTTCCAACTTCCACTGTGCCTTCTGTAATTCATGGTTCATTTTCATCAAAATTATAACTTCAATATATCCTTTGGTCTCTTTACCTTCTTGTTCTGACAGAATCCTGGGTCTCACATGAAAAGATCCAAATGGTGGAGGAGCTTCCTTTTGGCCTCTAAACCTAAATGATGACTTTTTCTCCCATATAATTCCTATCACTGCCCTGGAGGTAGAATAACAATTCTACTAAGTCCTTATCACTAGCTTCAAACCATTCTCCCTCCTGCATTCCTAAAAACTCTCAGTTTTGAAACTTTGCCATTCAATTACATTAGCCACTGTGGCTGCCACCTACTAAATTTGAAATTATTTCTCTTGTTTATTGACAATTTGAGCTGTCACTCTACCCAGTGTTACTCTTGTCTTAATCCTTGGAAATTTCAGTAGACACATAAAGGGCTTTCTAATGCATCAAATCCTCCCTCCCTCCCTCCCTCCCTCCCTCCCTTCCTTCCTTCCTTCCTTTTTTTCTCACTCTGTCACCCAGGTTGGAGCACAGTGTCATGATCATGGGTCACTGTGGTCTCAACCTCCTGGGCTCAGGAGATCCTTTTGCTTTAGTCTCCTGAGTAGTTGGTACTACAGACGTGTATCAGCACACCTGCCTAATTTTTAAATTTGTGTGTGTGTGTGTGTGTGTGTGTGTGTGTGTGTGTGTGTGTGTGTAGGCTGTGGTCTCGAATGCCTGGGTTCAAGGAATCCTCCTACCTTGGCTTCCCATAGTGCTGGGATTATAGGCGTGAGCTACTATACCCTACCACAAACTCTCAGTTTCTTGAACAGCTTCTCTCCAAAGATATTATGCTCCAATGTATTTTCTAGAGTAATACCTTAAACTTTGTCATTACCAGTAATGAAACTCCTGTATGACATCTGTCTCATTCATCTCATCTGGCTGGCTTCTATCTTTCTAACTTCCTCTAGTACCTAGACTCTAAAAATCCTTTGACCTCATAGAAATGACCAACCTTTAGATACTGTCACTTTTTACATCATTCCCTTATTATCTTTTCCTCCTTCTGTATCCACCTTAAATCCATCAGTAATTACAACTGCCTTCCCATGTACTCTCAATTTCTTTGCTCCCCTGTTAATCTGTAGAACTCCCTTGAAAAATCCACAGCCCTGATAAAATCCAAAACTCTGCCTGCTTTACATCTATGAAGCTAAATGTGGCTGGAGAAAAATCATAACCATGCTAACTGATTTAACTTTAAATTCATGAACACAACCCTTTAGGAAGCTCTTAATCCTGCTCAATAATCATATTACATTTCTCTAACGCATTCACACTCCCATTTTTCTGGATGACTGTTTCCCCTTCTACTCTCTTCTCAAATCTCACATTCTCATTCTTAGCTGATGATCTTGTTTCCTACTTCACTGAAGGAACTGAAGCACTCTAAACAGATCTTCTGTACTCTCAGCCCCATATTTAACCACCTACCAATTTTCCTCACTGTTATAAAAATGAACTATTGTGTTTCTATTAAAATTAATCCTCCACTGGGAATTAAATCTCATCCCCACTTACCTACTCAGGGCTGTAGCAATTTTTATTTCTCTTTCTCTTAAATCATGAATTGGTAACTAGATCATTCCAGACTGCAAACCAGCATGCTATTATTTATCTCAGTTTAAACAGTAAAAACAAAAAGTACAAATCACTCTCTTGAAACTACCATCCCGTGTTTCTGCTTCATTTTGCAGCAAAACTTTGAAGAGTTATTTCTTTGTTATCTCTAATTCCTCGTTGTCTCTTAAATCCATGCCAATCTGGCATTCACCTAATACATTTCAAACTACTCAGCCAAGTCACCAGTGACCTCCTCATTGCTAAATCATCTCATTTGATCTCTCAGCAGCATGTGACAGACACCACTAATTACTCTCTTCTCTTGGTATATACTTTCCCCTTTTCAAGGCATATCTCCTGGTTTCTTGTCTTCCTAATTGGTTATTATTTTCAATCCTTTGAGGATTGCTTCTCTTTTCTCTACCCCTTAATGTTAATGTGACCAGGCTTAGTCCTTGATCATCTTCTTTCTCTATCTAGACTCACTATTATTAAATCCATTTAATTTTATGGTTTTTAAATACCATCTATATGCCAACAGCTACTGAATTTGTACTTTTGACCCAGACTTCTCTTCTAAACTTCAGACTTGATATCCGACTGTTTCCAACATCTCCATTTGGAAATCTAAAAAAAGAAAATCAATACATCCAAAACTGAACACCAAATCTTGTTCCCTAAAACCATTTACACTTACAGTTGACACCCTTCTTTTTCTGATGTCCTACCTAGGCAGAATCCATCAGAATCTTCCATTGGTTCAGCTCTAAAAATATATCCAGAACTTACCACTTCTCACCACATATACTGTCATCATCCCGGTCTGGCATCATTTTTTGACAGATACATTCAAAAATATTAAATGAAATTAAGCTACATAGTATGTCAAAGTCACAGTCTTTATTTAAAGTGATTAAATTTATTGCGACTGATATGCCACTTGTCATTGAGAAAATAATTAATCTTTGAAATAGCTTTACTAAGGAACTAAATTCCTCCTGATAAACCATACTTTACAAAGTAAACTAAAAACAAGAGTAATTAAAATATTTCTCTTTAATTATTATTTCCTCTTGACCTTCTGAGTAGACAGCTTATTTTCAACACAGATACCAGAGAGACCTTTTTAAAAAGATCATGACACTACTCCACTTAAAATTGTCTACCAGCTCACCATTTCATTCATAATCAAATCCAAAGTCATGACAATGACCCACAAGACCCTATAATAATTTATATCCTTATCATATGTCAGATTTCCCCTCTTATTATATTCCCCCTTGCTAAGTCTATTACAGCCAAAATGTCTCCCTTGCTCCTCAAAAAAATTTTGCATTGGCTATTTCCTCTGCCTAGAATTTCCTCCCCTCAGCTGTCCACATGGCTAAATCCCTCACCCCCTTCAGGTCTTTATTCAAAAGTAATCAATTTAATAAGGCTTACCTAGATTTCCTACTAAAAATTACAACTCTAATAGCATTTCTAACTCCTTTTTGCTTTTCACAGGAATTAGCACCCTCTAACATTATAAAATTTACCTATTTATCATGCATATTATTCATCTGTCTTCTCTCCTAGATAGAATATAAGCTCCATAAGAGAACAGGACTTTGTTTGCTTGTTCACTGACACTGTGAAAAGTGCCCAGAAGAGTACTTGGTACATAGTATACATTCAACAAATATTGAATGACTGAAAAAAAAAATTGAATACCAACTATCAAGTATGTCTGTATACAATACTGTATATCAAGTACAGTCTAATAAAAATATAGTGCTGAATAAAAAAATTAAGTGCTTGTCATTCCCTTACGTTATGACTTAACTCCAAAGTCAGTAAGGACACGAATCATGGATCATTCTCTTAATTACTCATGCAGCATTAAGCAGCATACTGTAAATATTTATTAAAGTAGATAGTGAAAAATATTAAATAAGAAACCATTTTCTAGTACCAAAAATATTAAATGAAATTAAGCTACATAGTATGTCAAAGTCACAGTCTTTATTTAAAGTGATTAAATTTATTGCGACTGATATGCCACTTGTCATTGAGAAAATAATTAATCTTTGAAACAACTTTACTAAGGAACTAAATTCCTCCTGATAAACCATACTTTACAAAGTAAACTAAAAACAAGAGTAATTAAAATATTTCTCTTTAATTATTATTTCCTTAGTACTGAAAGCTCTGTCCTTCTCAACATATTCTCTCTTTATTTCAGTAAGTGGTTTACTTTTAAATTGTATTATTTAATTATATTATCGTGGACATTATTTTTTTCCAATAATTTTTGGCCCAATCATTGCTATTGAGTTACTGACCAGAGCAATGGAAAGAAGAAACATTTCTTTAAGAATGAGAGCATCATAGAGTAAATAAACACTTTAGTGACTGCTTTTAGTTTGAAGTTCTTTAGCGTTTACTTACTAAACAAGCCAACAAAAATCTGCTTTCCAATAGCAGTTTGATGCTTCCATTTGGAACATACATTTAAAAATAGTAAGCAACAAGCATCCTGCAAAGTAGGTTATTTCAAGAGAGATTTACTTTCTCAAAGTAAAAATAGGAAAAAACAGTCAGTTCATCAAATTCACATTAGACTAAAAGAGGGTAAAAAATCATCACTTATTTCTTTATTTAAGATGTTTAGGCTTAATTAACTCTAGTTCTGATCACTCATAAATGTATGTTAGTTTCCCCTAAATATATGAATTTTATACTGTACATCATACCATGAAGCTAAACAGAATTCAAACTTTCATACAGAAACATCACTAATTACGTCAGTGACAAAAAAGTTAATTATTAATAAATTTTCTAACAGTCCATTTGATTAATTCTCAAAGCCATTATTGTTAGACATAATATACTTTAGTATGGCCTATGAGTTGGAAGAAACTTCTGACTAAATTGGAAGAAAAGGGACTTTCATTATATACAATTGCCTTATCTCAAAGGAGGTAGCTACAAAATGAATATTTGTATTGAAAAAGTGTTTTGTCCACATTTTTAGACTGAAACAATGTTCCCAGTGTTGTTATATATTGTAATTCTATATATAATTCTGAAATCCCAAGAGGCAGTATTTCATTTTTCTGAAATATCATCATAAATAAATGGAACACGACTATTAGAAATTTATTTAAACTTTTATTACAAGTTATTCACAATTTCTTTTCAAATCTCAGCTCACTAGTTTTGACTTTACTGCACTGTAATAAAATTATTATGGCTTTTAGTCCTTCCTGGGGAAAACATGCATATACTATTTTTTTGTGTGTGTGTGAGTTGGAGTCTCATTCTGTCACCCAGACTGGGTGCAGTGGCCGCTCCCGGCCATCGCAGCCTCGACTTGCTGGGATCCCGCAATCCTTCCACCTCAGCCTTCCAAGGAGCTGGAATTACAGGCATGCGCTACCACGCCCGGCTGATTTTTTTTTTTTGATTTATTGTAGAGATGAGGTCTCGCTGCCCAGGCGGGTCTCGAACCCGCAGACTCAGGCAATCCACTCACCTCAGCCTCCCAAAGGTGCGGGATTACAGGCTGAGCCACCAAGCCCGTCTGCATATACTACTTTTAAAAGAAAGAATCATTCTTAAACCTTTCAAAGATTTTGACACATCTATTTCAGTGAACATCACAATATTTATAAAAGATGTAATATTGTGTTCTTCTAGACTAATGCATAATATGCCTTGCTGCAATATAAGAAAAACTTTGAAGAAAATTAAAAAATCTGCAGAGTTCACAATCAATATAAAGACTTTTGGCTATTTAGCTCCATTGATTATGTACCTTGCCCAGTAATTCTCCTAATGTGACATCTTCATGACTGAGAATCCATTTCTTATCCTAAAGCAAAGAAAAAGAACAGTTGTTTAGTATAAGCAAGAATATACTTCCTGCAGCTGCATTTGAGGCGGTGGGAAATAGAACTAAAGGAATATTTCATTTGAGCTGTTCAATCAACAGCACACTAAGAAATTATAACCTCAAGATGCTGTGAAACAAATTTAAGAAATGTTACCACACAATAGGATATTAAAATCTACATTACAGCAAACTTCTATCAGAAATCTTAGCCTTCAAAATAACAGTATCCCTGTAACTAGAACACAGCATGCACTTTCCCCCACCACAAAGTTTATGCTAGGCTATTATTTGTCATCTTAAAACCTCTGTCATAGGTACATGAGGGAGTTTCATTTTACAATACAAAATTTTCAATTCTCACTTGTTCTTAAAGGATTATTTTTCTACCCAAATCATATTACTATGAGATCATTTTTCTACATATAAACTGGCCATAAGTGATTGATGCCTGTGACCCTGCATGTAGTCCCTTATCTTTCCTAAGTAATTTCCTGTGGCATAATAAAACAACAAATACCAATTACAATATCAGTATGATGTACAAGACCAGTGACGAAAACATGCCATTATAAAAAAGCATTATCTGATCTCAAGAACGAATGACTACTTAGGGAATATTTCATTGTCTGAAAAAAGCTCAGCTATTAAACCATACCATAATGTTAGGGGGGGAAATATATATATATGTAAATATATATACATATATGTAAATATATACATATATACATAAATATATATACATATATATTACATATATATACATATATATTTCTAACGAAGGAAGGGAAAAGGAATGAAGTAAGGGGAAAGGGGAGATGGAGAGAGAGGAGAAAAAGAGGGAGACGGAAAAGGACAGAAAGGAGAGGAATGAGAAAGAGAAGGAGGAGGATCCTGGAGTGACATTTTATTTATGATTTAGAATTTTTTATCAATATGAAAATGTAGCTTTCCCCATTACAAAGACAGCTTGAAACGCAATTGTGGTCTATAGCGTATGAGTTGTAACATGAAATCAGGTTGAACTGTTTAAAAGAAAGCTCCCAAACACTGGTTTGAAGGTACTGGAGAGCAACTAAAATAGTGAAGTACTGAAAAGTTAAATTTAGGTTAACAACAGAAGCCAAGTCAAGAATTTTTTAGTTACTTTTACCCTTGCTTGCATATGTTGATTGTGAAAGTAGCAGTTAACAGTTTAAAAAAGGAAAAAAAAAAAAAGTTGAGGGCCTGCCAAGGAGAAGAGGCCCTTATAAAACAACTCAGACTTTTAATCAGAATCCCAGAAAAGGTAACCTGGAAATGAAAGGAAGTAAGCCTACCTTCTAATCATCTCTATTACAGATTGAACCAAAGTAGGCGCCTGGCAAACTAAGCCTGTGGGCATGGCCAGAATAGATTTTGCACTTTTAATCATTTGAAGAAAAAAAAAAAAGAGTAGGTTTTTTTTTTGGAGCTGGAGTCTCACTCTGTCACCCAGACTGGAGTGCAGTGGCCACTCCCGGCCACCACAGCCTCGACCTGCTGGGCTCCGGCGATCCTTCTGCCTCAGCCTTCCAAGTAGCCGGAACTACAGGCACGTGCTACCACGCCCGGCTAATTTTTTTGATTTATTGCAGAGATGAGGTCTCGCCAAGTTGCCCAGGTGGGTCTCGAGCCCACGGGCTCAGGCAATCCACTCTCCTCAGCCTCCCAAAGGTGCGGGATTACAGGCTGAGCCACCAAGCCCGGCAAAAGAGTAGTTTTTGATGCCTGAGAATTATATCCAATTTATATTTCAGTGTCCACAGATCTATAGATTAGCAGAAATTATTTAGTCTAAGTTATAGAGGCAGAAAAAGTAATGAACAGTTTAAAGAACCTATGGGATGATACCAGAAGGTCTAGTATTCATACCACCAAATTTATAGAAGAAAAGGAGATGAAGACAATGCAGGAAAAAATATTTGACAATATACTAGCTAAAGTTCTCCATATTTGGCTAAAGACATAGTAGACCTTCCAATTAAGGAAAAAAAAAAAAAACCTACTCCGAAAAAGAAAAACACAAATAAATCAATGCCTAGACATAACACAATCACACTGACTAAAATCAAAGAACAACAAAGAAGAAAAATCTTAAAAGTGGCTGGAGAAAATGGCCCATCATTTATATGAGCACAACAATTGGAATGACTGGGGATTTATCAGAAAGCTTAAAGGCAAGAAGCAGTGAAACAACATTTAAAAAATATTAAAAGAAACCAACTGTCAACCCAGATTTCTATATCCAGAAAAATATCCTTCAGGAGTGAAGATGAAATAAAGACTTTCTCAGATAAAGAAAAATTAAGATTTTTTTTTTCCTTTTTTTGCCAGTAAACTTACTGTAAAATAAATGCTAAAGGAGTTCTTTAGCCAGAAGTAAAATGGTACCAGAAGAAAACTTGGAATACAGCCATTGCTTTGGTAAACTCTGGTGTGGCATGTGCTCTTTGAGCCATGACCAGGCCATGTTTCCCAGCTTTAGCCCCCTCCTCTACCTTGGGGAGGTGAATCTCCTCTCTTTCTCTCTCCCTCTCTCCAATATACTTTATAAATAAACTATATTTTCCAAGCTAAAAAAGAAAAGAAAAAAAAACTTGGAATGCTAGGAATAAAGGAAGAATAATGATAATACCTGAGTAAACATAAGTTCTTCTGAGAGTTCTGAAAATATACTTGATAGGATGAAAGGAAAAATACCACTGTCTCATAGGTTTTTCAATTGATAAAGATGCAATACATAAGAAAAGTACAACAAAGAGGGAATGGTATACAGCTCTACAGTGGTAAAATTTCTACATTTTATTTGAAGTGGTATGATATTGAATTTTAGTTAACTTTAAAGAATTAATTATGTAGATAGTAATTCCTAGAGCAACCACTAAAAAGAAAAATACAAAGCTCTGTAATCAAAGACACAATAGAAAACAATTAAGGGAATAGTAAAAAAAAAAAAAAAAAAGTTCAAATAACTCCAAAGAGGTTAAGAAAAGGAAAATAGAGAAATAAAAAACAAAGAGAGTAAACAGAAAACAATAAAATTGTAACCCTAAATCCAAACATACCAATAATTACATTAAGTATGAGTTGTCTAAAAGCATCATTTAAATAAAAGGAAGAATTGTAAGAAAGAATTTTAAAAGAGTCAACTACATGCTGTCTAAAGAAACTCAATTCAACTACAATGATATATTTTTAAAGAGAAAAAGGATGGAAATAGATACAAAATGCAAGTAAATCACAAGAAAACTGGAACATCTATAGTAATGTCAGACAAAGTAGATTATAAAACAAGGAAAATTACCATGGATCAAGAAGAAAATCACCTAATGATAAAAGCATCAATTCATCAAGAAAATATAATGACACTAAATTTCTATGATTTCAACCACAGATGCTTCAAAATGAAGACAATATCGTGAGAACTGAAAAGAGACAGAAAATTTCACAATTATATTTGTAGACTCTAACACTTCCCTGTCTGTAATCAGTAGTACTAGAGTGAAAATCAGCAAGAATACAAAAGAACTGATTAACACTATCAACCAAGGAATATTTATAGAATACTCCACTCAACAAAATAATAATAAACCCTCTTTTCAAGTGCACAAGGAAAATTCGCCAAGTTAAACCACATCTTGAGTCATAAAATAAACTTGAAAAAAGTTAAAAAAACTGACGTCATACAGAGTGTATTCCCTGACAATAACAAAATGAAATTAGAAATCAATTACAGGAAAATTTATAAATATTTGAAAATTAAGCACTTTCAAATAATCATGAAGTTTAAAAAAAATATGAAGGGAAATTAGGAATTTTTAAAAACTGAACAAAAATGAAAGCATAGCATATCAAAATGTGTGGGATGTTTTAACCAATGTTTAGAGAGAATTTCACAGCATTTCATAATTATATTAAAGAATAAGAGAGCATACCTCATCAACAAGGCTTCCTGCATAATGACTATTTGGTACCTAACCCTCAATTGTACCCCACATCTTTAAAATAAAAATTTTAAATGAAAAAAAAAAAAGAATAAGAGAGGTCTCAAGTCAATAATCTAAGCTTTTACTTTAAGGATTTAGAAAGAGAGAGCAAAATAAGTTCAAATCTTAGTTTGCAATAATAAGTAATAGTAACAATTAATAAGTAAGCAATAATAATAAGATCATAAGTCAATGAAATTGAAAATCAAAAACAACACAGGATTCATTATGGAGAAAACTATTATCATCACTGGAAATGCCTGGACAATTTTGTTGTTGTTTCTGTTTTTGGTTGTTTGTTGTGGTTTGGTTTTTTTGGCTCTTAGTCAAGGTAAGAGCAGTTGATTTTACTGATTAAGGCCTGACACTCTCTAGAGTTCTCAGGGTTCATTTCTTTACTGATAGCTTGCAACGGGCCTAGCTAGTTGGCAAGTTTGACTTGATTAGCCGGGCAGAGGGACATAAAAGCTTAAGAGTTTCTCCTTTAAACTCTCCCAAATCTGAGGAGATTGCTCTTACAGATTTTGGTGAATCAATGTCAGACCCAGATTGGTCTGGATGTGTGTAAATTAGGGCACTGGGGAGTTCATGTCTGGGATGTCTTTCACTCTGTGGTATGCATTGTACCTTTTCCCTTTAAATGAAAGCTTTGTGTGAATAGGCTCAGTGGAGGTTGGTAACACTTTTAATTGTCTAAACTGGGATAATTTTTGCAGCTCAGGACTAAAAGGGGATAATATAAAACTCCATGACACTGCAATTTAAGTAATAATGGCTAAGGTGTTGCTTGGGAGAAAGTTGTAGGGTGCTATTGGGAGGCTGGGGTGTAGAACCCTTATTGTTGTCAGAATGATTGCTACCTAGTGGTCATTCCTGGTCTATGGTCATAAAAATAACACTTTAATTTCAGAGAAAGAACAGAAGGAATGGAGGCAGGCTGCCTTTGAGTCTTTCAAGATACAGGAATTATTAGTG